CGGCTCCTGCCACCTTCCTCCAACCTGTGCTTCCCTCCTTTCTGCACTAACAAGAACGGGCTCTTTCCTCCTGTCTACAGGGATTTGCCAACGGACTGTGTCAACATGGAATAGACAATCAAAACAAAGGACTTTTCTATGTTGAACACCTCGTATGCGTACTGAGGCAGGCAGAGCAGACGGTGAGCACCGGACCGGAACAGGGAGCTTGGTGCCAGCAGAGGCATGGCGAGCTTCGCCTGGTCCCAAGAAAGCAATCCCAGCCCTTCCAACCAGCCCCAAGACACATTCCTGCTCTTGCAGACGAGCCCTGTGCAGCAGGCAGCTCTGCAGAGTGCCACCCAGCCCTGCCCCATCCTGTGCCCTGCTGCTCAGCCTGAGCCTGCTGCTGATGGAAATGCTCTGCTCTTTCCAGCTCTGCTTCGTTTGTGGCAAGCGGGGGGCCAGCATCACCTGCGCAGAGATGGGCTGTGACCGCAGCTTCCATTTTCCCTGTGCCGCGGAGGGTCAGTGCGTCACCCAGTTTTTTGGCCAGCACAGGTAAGGGCTGCCAGGCATCGTCTGCGAGCCTCCAACCCCTCTGTCAGCAGCAGCCAAAGAAGCGAGGAGTGTGCTGTGACGCCTCCCAGCAGCCTGACAGAGCCAGAGCCAAGGCCCGGGGCTCCTTCCTGTTCCTCTGCCCTCCTCGCAGCACTTCTCACCTTGCCCATCCCTCCCATCTTCCCCCAGGTGCTTCTGCTTGGAGCACCTCCCGCAGCAGCCACTGGAGACAGCGCCAACACAGGACACGACCTGCATCATCTGCATGGAGCCCGTGGGACTCAGCAGGTCGTACTGCACCATGGTGTGCCCAGCCTGCCAACACGCCTGGTTCCACCGGGCCTGCATCCAGGTAGGAGCCCTCCCGTCACCCGCAGGCACCACAGGTGCTCAGCAGCACCGGGCTCCGCTTACACTCGCGCTGCTTCTGTTCCCGCTGCAGGGCATGGCCAAGAGTGCTGGGCTTTGCTGCTTCCAGTGCCCTCTGTGTAGAGACAGAGAGGTCTTTATTCAAGAAATGGTCAATTTGGGGATCCACATCCCAGCCAGGTTAGTGTCCTTCAGCCAGCTCTCGAGACATGAGGGCACAAGAGCACAAGTGCCTGCCCAAGGACTGTCCCGGCAGGCCTGGCCCTTTGCTGCCTGGGAGCAGCGGCCTCAGCTTCACACATATGGTGGAACGGCAGTCAGGCTGGAAGAGCAGGGATGGCTTTGGTCAGTCTTAGTCTCGAGGCACTGGGAGCTCATCACATTCCCTTCTCTGGCAGAAAACCAACATGGGAGGACAACTATGCGTATGCATCCCTGGGAGTCAGGCACAGGAGCTGCAATGCC